GGGGAAGGTGATGCAATGAATGCATGCAATCTATAATGCAATGGATATGGCACGCGGGCCAAACCAAATCTTGCCTAGGAAAGGCATGTACGCATACGAGCCATGTCTAACACAGAAAAGGTGCCGCAACCCTCAAACCAACATACCAGCGTGGAATAGGCGCGTACACATGCAGAACTGTGCTTTAACGTGAAAAGTAAGGGCACATACCAGACCAAGCTCAATATGGAAAGGCGCAAGCCATAGATGGAAGGTGATGCAATGAATGCATGCAATCTACAATGCAATATCTACAAATATGCAATGGAATGGAAATGCAACATAATGGATGACAATGCAGTATGATGCGATCTACTGGGGAAAATGCAATGGATGCATGCAAGCTACAATGGAAATGCATGACAATGCACTATGATGCAACGGCTATGATTGCAACTTTCCCTATCTTACCAACAGGGTGATATACTAGGTTCGTTCAGTATCCAGAACTGAGGCGCCGACATGCCGCCTCAATCTATGGGGCTTCCATACAGATTTCAAGTCGAGGATACACCCCTGGGTATTTAAACCAGACTTTAGTCTCGGAACTTCCGAACCTTTGCGTTCTAGGCATTAGTCGTTCGAACTCTAGTTTCCACCGTCCCAGTTGGTCTTCTAGGAACTCACCGCAAACATAGGTAGGTGGCTTTACCAGACCACCGAAAGTCGTTCGGGCACGACAAACACCAAAGGAATTGCACCTTCAGAGGATTTAGGGTCTCCTAGACCGGGTAGATTGCACAAGAAATGCATAACAATGTATGTGTTTTTTTTTTGAAATGCAAATGATGTACAAAATGCATGTTGCATGGAATGCGCGACAACACGCGGCTTAAGATATGCATGACAATGCAACCGAAATGCACACATCAATGTGCCGAAGGTTTCGCACCTTCCAAGGATTTAAGGTCTCCTAGACCGTGTCGATTGCACAAGAAATGCATAACAATCTAGGTAAACTGCACACATCAATATGCTGAAGGTTTCGCACCTTCAAAGGATTTAAGGTCTCCTAGACCGTGTAGATACCTGCGGCTTAAGACATGCATGGCAATGCAACAGAACTGCACACATCAATGCACCGGAGGTTTCGCACCTCCCAAGGATTTAAGGTCTCCTAGACCGTGTAGATACCTGCGCGGTTCGTCTGGTCGCTCCAGCCTCAAATGAACCGTACATACAATATCGCGCCTGAAAAGAAAACAAACTTAACAGGTACAATGTTGTTTACAACATGCATGACAATGCAAATGAGGCACGCATGCTAATGCAAATGTCGACACACATGCCAACGAAAATGTGGCATGCATGCTAATAAAAATGAGGCATGATGCAAGATGATACAAATGAGACATGCATGCCTCATAAGATGCAAAATGATACAAATGAGACACGCAATGAGGCACGCATGCTAATGCAAATGACGACACACATGCCAAAGAAAATGTGACACGCATGCCAATGGAAATGAGGCACACATGCCGATGAAGAAGATGGGGCACACCTGCCAATGGAAATGAGACACGCATGCCGATGCAAATGTGGATGAGGCACGCGTGCCAATGAGAATGAGGCATGATGCAAGTGTGACACGCATGCCTCATAAGATGCGAAATTATACAAATGAGACACACATGCCTCATAAGATGCAAAATGATATAAATGAGACACGCATGCCTCATAAGATGCAGAATGATGCAAGTGTGACACGCATGCCACACAGAATGTAAAACGATACAAATGAGACACGCATGCCTCATAAGATGCAGAATGATGCAAGTGTGACACGCATGCCACACGGAATGTAAAATGATACAAATGAGACACGCATGCCTCATAAGATGCAAAATGATACAAATGAGACACGCATGCCTCATAAGATGCAAAATGATGCAAGTGTGACACGCATGTCACACGAAATGCAAAATGATACAAATGAGACACGCATGCCTCATAAGATGCAAAATGATACAAATGAGACACGCATGCCTCATAAGATGCAAAATGATGCAAGTGTGACACGCATGCCACACGGAATGCAAAATGATACAAATGAGACGCATGCCTCATAAGATGCAAAATGATACAAATGAGACGCACAAAACAGTGCGATGCGCTAAACAGCGCGAATGTAAACTGCACAAAACAGTGCGATGCGCTAAACAGCGCGAATGTAAACTGCACAAAACAGTGCGATGCGCTAAACAGCGTGAGTGTAAACTGCACAAAACAGTGCGATGTGCAAAATAGCGCGAATGAAATGTAATGCAAAAAACAGTGCGATGCGCTAAACAGCGCGAGTGAAATGTAATGCACAAAACAGTGCGATGGTTTTTGAAGTGCACAAAACAGTGCGATGCGCTAAACAGCGTGATTGAAATGCAATGCACAAAACAGTGCGATGCGCTAAACAGCGCGAGTGAAATGCAATGCACAAAACAGTGCGATGGTTTTTGAAGTGCACAAAACAGTGCGATGCGCTAAACAGAGCGATTGAAATGCAATGCACAAAACAGTGCGATGCGCTAAACAGCGCGAGTGAAATGTAATGCACAAAACAGTGCGATGGTTTTTGAAGTGCACAAAACAGTGCGATGCGCTAAACAGCGCGATTGAAATGCAATGCACAAAACAGTACGATGCGCTAAACAGTGCGAGTGAAATGCAAGGCATGGGGCAACTTTTGAGCTTTTGTAAAAGCTAAAAGGATACGAAAAGGATACACCATTGTATGAGTTGGAGTGCTACGCACAGAAGACGCGGTCTGAGGTCAAAACGAAGGCCGGTCGAGCGTCGGAGATACACTTTGTTGCACTGTTTTGAGCACTAAAGGCCCTGGACCCCACAAATAACTCAAACAAGGGTGTAGGAGGCTCCAAAATCACTCTAGGAGGTCAACGGATGCCCACCGGCCATCAGAATACATCAGCGGCCGTCCACCGGCCATCATTAAATTCCATCGGCACAATATTCTGCCGGTCGGCACAAAATGTTGTCTACCGGCAAAAAGTTCCTGAGTCGGGGCAGATTCGACATTTCACCACGGGTGTTTTAAAATAGGGTTTCTAAACCCTATTTTTCACTTCCTTCTCCGCCGAAAATCCACACTTTCTCTCTCTACAGTGTTTTCCTCTCCTCTTTCCTCCGTTTCTTTGCGTTCTACGCCCGTTTCGTCGTCGGATTCGCGATCTCCTTCGCGTTTCGGACATTTTCAACCGAACAAATCTTTGTTTCGGTGCCTCTTTTGGCGTTCCCACCTTTTCGGGGTTTGTTCCCCTTGCTTTCCTCTTGATTTTTGTACCATTTCCACATCCCGGCCTTTCCGGCGATTTTTGACCTTCTCGGGAGTTGACTTTTTGGTTGACTCTTCGTATTCTAGCCCGGTTTTCCTTCCTCCGGCTATTTTCTCATCATTCTCGACATGGCGGACGACATTCCATGCGGCGGGACTCCCCCGGACCACGAGATGGATCCCGGGGTCGAGCTCCTACCTTTGAGCGAGCGCCCGTTCGATCCGGCGACCTACCGGCCGGCGATTCACGTCCTGCCTCCCGACGGACTTCGCCAGTTTCGGAGCTTCGAGAGGCACGTGCCACCCGAGCTATTACTGCGTGAGCCTACCTCCCACCTGTCCTTCGACACTTCCGAGGTAACTCTCTTTCCTCTGCTTTACTTTCTGCAATGTAGGATACAAAACTGTCGTAGCTAGTTGTGCTCTTTAACTGCTTTAGCTCAGATACCCTGTATACTCTAGTTGGTTGTAAACATTCGTACAACTGATATCTGCTTGAGACTGACACATGCACACACACTGCACTAGCCCTGAATCACACGG